TAGGTCCCACCTCTCTGCAAAAAGGTTTTGTGGTTATTGGCCCATGTGTGCAGTGCATGATGGTCACCTTCACCGTGGGGAGTTGCTGCATGCACGAGGCTCATCTTATTCTTTTTTCATGCCCTCACCTCCACTTCTTGGTCCCCTGCCAATTTGCAAATGATCTGTTGCCCTGTTTCTCATTATCTATCTTCAATTTTCCTCTCTATGTATATTTTGGGTTTCTCATATAAAAGAAACCATGTGGCATTTGAGTTTGTGTGTCTGATGTATTTCACTTAACATCATGGTTTCAAGGTGCATCTATTTTCCAACAAATTAGTCGAATTTATCCTTTATGGCCTAATACTGCTTCATTGTATATCACTACCACATCTTCTTTATCCATTCATCTGTTGATGGACATAAGGACTGCTTCCCAGATTTAGCTATTATGAGCTGTGCTGCTATAAACATGAGTACGCGGGTGTCACTGTAGTGTGATGCCTTTAACTCTTTTGGGAAGGTACCTAGAAGGGTAGTAGCTGGGTCAAATGGAATCTCTCGTTTTAGTCTTTTGAGGAATCTCCATACTGATTTCCATAGTGGTTGTACTAGTCTACACTCCCACCAACACCCCCCGCCCCCGGCAGCCTCGCTGGCATTCGTTATTATCTTATTTCTTGGTAACAGCCATTCTTTCTGGAGTAAAGTGGAATTTCTTTAATGTAGGCCCCACAGCTAAAGGTTCCAGTACCTCTCAAGAGTGCAATGCTACAGACCAGGCCTACCATGGGATCTTTGGGGGACACTTAACATTTAAACTGCAGCAGAACCTGAGCCTTAGTAATCCATAATAGCTGGAAGAGGTTTTCAGAGTAGAATTGTTAGGGAACAGACAGCTTTTGATTGACAGGTAATAATTTTATTTATTTATTTATTTATTTATTGGTACTGGGGATCGAACTTGGGTCCTTGTGCTTGTGCAGCAGGTGGCGGAACCACTGAACTAAATCCCCGGCCCAGGTAATAATTTATTTGCAATGGAGTTAAGGATGGAAAACAGGAAGAGAGTGGTAGCTATCACCTGCTCAGCTTAATACAGGGCAAGTTGGAAGAAATAGTCAGTTACCCAAGCAGGGGCCTCTACTCAGAATTGGGAACTTCACAGGGCAAAGGTTTAACCATTCTTGGGAACTTGTGTGGGGGGTTTGTTTTCTTATTGAAATGTCCAAACAAGAGCATTTATTTATTGAGACACTGTCCTGCTATGAAGCCCAAGCTGGCCTCAGACTCAGCCTCCTAAGTCCTGGGATTACAGGCATGTGCCAGGAGACCCGACTAAGAACTTTTATTTTCCATGGAGACTGGTAAGGGAGAAATGACCATAATACAGCCAAAATGAATCTGTCTTTGGCAATTCCTTCATCTTTGGGCCCTGGGATCCATTCTTCTCAGCCTGACACCTCGAAATTCCCATTACAAGTTTTTTTCTAGTTCAGCTGAGAATAGCTTGGTAATGTTGAATGAATATCATTACAAACTTTGGAAAAGAAAAGCTCTCTATCGCATTTTTACCAGTTCGGAAAATATCAAACAGTGGTTTTAATTTCCTCCCTCTCCCTTCTGTGGTATTGAGGATCGAAATGAGGGCTTCCCACATAAAGTACCAGGCAAGTGCTCCACCAGTGAGCTACATCACAGCACTTGTAAACTCTGAGACAAGGTCTCACTAAATTGCCCAGGCTGGCCTCGAACTTACCATTCTCCTGCCTCAGCCTGCCAAGGAGCTGGGATTACAGGTATGTGGTACCACACCTGACCTCTATTTCCTTTCTTTATCCATCCCAACATACCATTAGGGAATAGTCACCATGTGTAAATTACTTTGTCATGTTCTAGGGATACAGTGATGAGAACATAGACATGTTCTCCATGGAGCCTGCAGCCTGGTAGGAAAAGTCAGGCTACAAAGCAGTGGCAAATGTCAGCCCATTCCCTTCGACTTTCTGCTCGGGTAAAACGGTCTCTTTGTGTCAGACAGAATGGAACAGGAGGGTGGGAGAGAAAGAACAAATAATGAACAAGCACTTTAGCTCTGAGCACAGGAGCTGAGCCTGATTGTTTCCATGAGTGTGAAGGCTGCCCCTAACAAGAGAGTGAGGGTAAAACAGAGGGGAAAGAGAAGAGAAGGAAACAGAGTGGGAGCAGAGGAAGGGGAGAAAAAAGACAAGTGGCGCTGACTGAGGGGCAGGGAGTGTTAGCTGGGATCTGGGCTGTTGCTGTGGCTCCCACTGTTGATACTACTCAGCCTTCCATGCGAATCAAGGATATCGCTGATGGGCACGGGCCACCTCCAACGTGACACCCCAGCTCTGAGCCAGTTCCTTAGTTCACACCGGCCTGTAAACAGACTTTGTGGGTTTAGTTTGTGTTTCTAACAGCACGCACAGTCAGACAGGCAAATAACAGACTGAGGAGGTCCAGAAGATGATGAGGGAGTTGGAAACACCCATGGCCTGGTGCCCTTCTAAGTGTCAGAACATCACAGCACAAGCCGTCACTTACGTGCTTGTGTTGATGGTGGTTAAAGAAGCCTACAGTGCTGCCTGTCTTCTAAAGGTATCGCGTATACAATTATGCATGTATGTAATGCTTGATAATGCTAGGTGATTGTGTATTTACTATACTGAACTTTTCATAATTTTACGATGTACTCCTACTTACAAAAATTACTGTAAAACAGTATGCTCATATTTCATGTTTACCAAGTCTCTCGATTGTATCATTTTCTCTTGGCCGTAGGAATAATGGGGTATGTATCGTCTGCATCCACTCCATCTCTACACAACCTACTGTGTAGTAAGCGGTACGTCCAGGAGCCTGCCAGCACCCTGTAACGCTGGCACCTGAGTCTGCATTCCTTGGGCCGCGTCCCAGTCCCATCGGTGCATGGCTCTAACCCTTGTTCACTTTTCTCAGATTAGGGAGCCACAAGCTGAGACTTCCAACGATGGGAACAGCACGGAAGTGGAGGGATGGGGAGGTCGGACAAGCTGTCCTCTGACCTTGGGGGTCAACAAGGAGGCCCAAGAGAGGTCGGCCAGCCTGCACCCCGGCCGTGAGAGCCAGGCGGAGGTGCTCAATGGAGTCTCCTTTTCCGAGAGCAGAATTTTTTCCTCTTTTACAGTGAAACTGGAACAGTGCTGGGAAAATGGGACGGGTGTCCCCAGTCAAGAGACAGGGCTGTTTACCCAACTCTGCATAGGAGCCCTAAGGGAAGGGAGTCTTGGTACAAAGGAAAACTATAATTTTCCGAAGGAGAGGCGGTCAGTGCCAGTGGGGGCCCGGGGACCAGAGCGCGGGGTTCCCTGACAGGTGGCCCCGAGGGCGCGGGTCTGAGCCCAGCTTCTCCCTGGAGGGGGAGGTCGGAGAGAGCCCCTTGGGGCTTCGCCGTCCTTAGGTGTTTTGAGGTACAGGCCCTGACCCGGGTACCCCACAAAGTCAGCTGCGGGGCCGTAAGGTGAGGCAGCCCTCCTCCAGAGGGCGTGTGGGGTGGACACCGACTTTGCAGTCTCCGGGTCGGCCGGGGCCGCAGAGCGGGGAGGCGAGAGGACCCGGAGTTGGGCTTCGGCCCGAGGCCGGGCGGGCGCGTCCTGCGCGCTCCCGAGCCCAGGGCTCCCACGCCGGCCCCTTGCGGTCCCGAGGCCCACGAGGCCCATTTTGGTGCAATGCGAATCAGCTCGACCGCCCCGGCGGAGGGGCTCCCGGGCTCCGGGCGCTCGCGCGGGCCGGGGTCCGAAACCTGAGTCGGCGCCGCCGACCCCCGGCCTCGCCGCTGCCGTCGCCATAGCAACCAGGCCCCCCGACTCG